CTGGGTATAATTAAAAGTATATAAATATATTTTCAATTAAGAAAATTAATTTTTTTAGTTTTTTTTGAATATATAATAATTCCATTTATGAGAAAAATCAAAATTTTTTAAAATTATTGGATTCCATAAAAAAGCTCCACGAAAAGAAATGCAAAATTTACAAAAGCTTGTTTGAAATTTTGGTTGTTTAATAAAACTATCATTTCTTAAAGAATATTTATTTTTTTCTTTTAAAGAATATAAATCAAAAAAGAAAGCTGGAGATGAGTTGGTTTTACATTTAAACATAAAGCAAAGAACATTATAAACATTTAATTGATATATATTAAAAACATTCATGTTAAATAAGAGTGGCCTTGAGTGAGTAAAACGATTTTTAAAATTTATAAGACGTGCAATATGCTTCTGCTGACAATAAAGTGGCTTTAATTTATTTTTATGGGTACTACCCCATGCAATATTAGCATAATTAATATGACAGTCTATAAAAAAGTAACATAGTTGTTTTAATGAATGTTTGTTTAAAACGCTTCTTGCTTTATATAAAACTCCAATGCTTTTTGCAATTTTGTTGCATAAATGTCCGATGTGATTCTTTCATGATAAATTTTCATCTACAATGATACCTAGAAAATTTGTGAAAATTACTCTTTTTATTTGAATATTATCAATATGAAAAAGAGGCATATTACTTGGAAGTAAATGTTTTTTAAATCGTGGATGAAAAAAAATCCATTTAGTTTTATCAATGTTGAGTGAAAGTTTATTTGACTTAAACCAGTCAGATATTTTTGTTTGTTCAATGTTCGTACCATAAAAAAGTTTATTGATGTTATTATTAGATATGAATAGGTTTGTTTCATCAGCAAACGTTATAGTTGTTAATTTTGAGATGTCATGGAGATCGTTAACATAAATTAGAAATAATAAAGGCCCTAGTATAGATCCCTGTGGAACTCCACAAGTTATATTTAGATAATCTTGTGAAGAAGGTCCGTCGACATAGACAAATTGTTTGCGTTGTTTTAAATAGCTTTAATAACATTAATAAAAAAAAGAAAAGTATGCGCTATTATTATAGTAATTTTGGAACATGGTAATGACGAGAAAATTGGTATATAAATGAAATATATATAAGTGAAAATAAATACGGTTCTGTTAAAAAAACCGCGCTACAAGATTTTTTTTTTTTTTTTTTAATAAAAAGTGACTAAATTTAACGGGTTTTTTTTCGAAACTTTTTTTAATCGTTTTTCGATTCGAATCACCTTTGGTCTACTTCTCATCTAAGTTGGCCAACGACCTCTGATTTTATTACCTGCGCGTTATTTTACGCAACTCGGTATGCATCTTTTTGACAAGTAGTAAAAGAGGTTACCGAAAATGTTGAACTATTTTGTGCAATAATTATTTTGTTGAAATAGTTTAGTATCACTTGATTAAAATATTACTATTCATTATTACTAGGAAAAAAAAAAGTCAAAAGTAATAAAAATGATACAAACTTAGTTTTACTTAAAACTTATTTTGAAATAGTAACTGGTTCAATAAGTGTAGAGCGCGGCCATATCTATGCTTGTCTACGCTTTGAGTCAAGATCTTTAACAAGTTCTTTAACTTGAGTCAAATTGAGTAAAGTTCTTACGCCTGTCTATGCTTTGAGTCAAGTTCATTAACAAGTTTAAAAATGAATAAAATACCAAAAACTATAAAAACACAAAAAACCATCGTCATCATCAAGTTTTCTAAACCTATCATTCACTAATATTCGTGGTCTTCGAAGTAACATTTCTTCTGTTGAGCCTTATCTCTTGCAAAGTTCACCAGAACTTTTTGCTCTTTATGAGACTAATTTGAGTTCGGGTGTCTCATCTTGTGATCTTAGTGTTGATGGTTATCTTCCTTTAATTTGTAAAGACTCCAATAGTCACATGCCTGGCCCGGGCATTTACATTCGTAAGAATTCACCCATTTGTTGGAAAAATAGATTTGAATCCACAGATTATTCTTTTATGTGCTTTCGTTTAGCACCACTTCCCTCTCACCTTTCTCTTTGTTCTATATCGCTCTCCTTCATCTCAAGACTGCACTCATTTTGATTTTTTTTTCCCACCAAGTCCTCTCTCTTTATCCATTAGCCAATATTGTGGTTGTTGGTGACTATAATGCTCATCACATCGAATGGCTTGGCTCTAGTGTCAGTGACTCTGCAGGCGTTAAAGCCCACAACTTTTGTCTTTCTTAATCCCTAGCTTAAATAGTCAATTTTCCAAATCGATTTCCTGACAACCCGAATAATTTACCTTCTCTACTCGACTTATGTCTTGTTTCTAACCTTAGTCAGTGCTCAGTTTCTCCACATTAACCCTTAAGGACTTCTAATCACGGTTTGATCTCTCTAAAACTATTATCTAATTCTTCTTCATTATCTGAACCTCCCTATCATCGTACTTCTTACAACTACCTTAAAGCTGACTGGGACTCTTTCCGTGATTTTCTTCGTGATGGCCCATGGATAAAAATATTTCGTCTTCCTGCTGTCAAATATGCCTCTTACATAACTTCATGGATTCGGGCTAGCATGGAATCTTTTATTCGCTTTCGACGATTCCAGGTTAAGCCTCAGTCTTCTCGATGGTTTTCCTCACATTGTGCTGCTGCAATTTCCAATCGAAATTGTTACTTTCATATCTATCAGCAAAATAATTGTATAGAAAACAGACATCTATTTCATACTGCTAGGAACCATTGTAAAAAGGTTTTGTCAAACGCCAAAGCCCGCTATTCTCAGGTTATGAAATCTCGTATTTCATTACAAAATTTAGGCTCTCTTGACTTCTGAAAAGTTTTTAATAGTAATAATAATAAGGCCAAATCTGTTATTCCACCTCTCTTGTATGGTTCAGACTTTGTCACCTCACCTAAAGATAATTCTGAATTGTTTACTAAGAACTTTTCATCAATATCATCTCTTGGTTCCACTAATTGCGTTCTACCTGATATAAGCGTCAAACAGGTTGATCCATTGCTTGACATTCGTATCACTCCAGCTTCTGTATCAAAAGTGATTTCCTGCTTAGACTCTTATACAGCTTGTGGCCCGGACAACATACCTGTTATAGTCTAGCAGAAGTGTTCTCCGGAGCTGTCGTCTATACTTTCAAAACTATTTAACAAGTGCTTATCAGAGTCTTGTTTTCCAGCATGCTGGAAAGTGGTATCTGTTATCCCTATTTTTAAAAATTCTGGAGAGCAATCCGATGAATCCTAGAAGATTAAGGGTTGATGTACTCGATGAGTCATCAACCCTTAATCTTCTAGGATTAACTTTTATCTTTTTTAGAAATCATATATCAAATCCATTGCAAAATTAGCATCCGCTAAGGTTGCATCTCTTTATTGAGCTCAACACATTCTCACTCCGGATTCTATACACCCTTGTATATCATACTGTAGCCATATCTTGGGCGAATCTTCTGATGATGTCCTTTCTCTTTTAGACAAGGTGCATTTTTTCTTTTAGACAAAGTGCAAAGCATTGAAAACATAGTTGGACCTGCTCTTGCAGCCAACCTCCAACCGTTATCACATCGTTGTAATGTTGCTTCTCTTTCTTTTTTTATAAAAATACTATATTGGACACTGCTCTAAAGAGCTAGCGTCTCTTGTGCCATCTACTAAAGTTCATTCTCGTGTTACTCGTCATTCAATTAAATCTCATCTTTTTTCTGTGACTGTTCCCAAGTGCTCCAAAAACTCTAATTTGTCCAGTTTTTTTTCTCAAACAATAGTTCTTTAGAATTCGCTTCCTTCATCTTGTTTTCCTGATTTATATAATTTGCAAGTCGTCTGTCAATCGTTATCTTGCTCTACAATCCTTATCTTATCCTATTTCCCTTAATCCTATTTCTCTTCCAGTATCTTCCAACTCTAATAGTGGTTGCTTGCAGCCTTGTTGGAAGCGAAGATGTTAAAAAAAGATATCGGGAAAGTGGGACATATAGGGACAGTTATGCTTGAAACCCTAAATCTTAGCTAAAAGAATTTTTTTTTTTGATAAGACATTTTAAATTATTGTTTCATTATTTCAAAAAGAAGTCTTTTAAAAAAAAAGTACTAAAATGCGTTAAAAATACCCAAATACATCCTTAAATTTGCGAAAGACAAAAGTTTCCTACTTTTTTAAAGCGATACAACGACAAAAGATTTATTTTGCTAACTCGTTTTATTTTAAAAAAAGTTTATATTTTTCTGACATTATTTTTAACCTCTTTTAATATCTAGAATTGAACTTTTTGAATAGTATTTAATTCAGTAAAATGACTTTGTGGTTAGAATATCTGAACAATAAATTATTTATTTAAATATTAGTAGTAGCTACCAATTTATTGGTATATATACCTATTTTGCCATACCTAATTTTTAGAATATTTTTAAAGTTTCCTTTGTTTAGAAGGATTTTATAGTAAAATACAAAAAAAAAAAAAAAAAATTTTTTTTTTTTTGTGGTGTTTGGGGGAGTAGCATAAGGGTATCCTACAACTTTTGAAACTTTTATCTGAACATGTTTAAATGATAGACGGCCTGTATTTTTTATCATTTTGAGTTTTAAGTTTTACAATCAATAAAAAACTGCTGCTTTTTAACTGTCTCGTTATGCCCCACCCACTTGCAAAATGCTAAAAATTTGCGAGTTTAGAGTTTCGTTACTTTGGTTGTCGTAACTTACTTTTAGAAAATGATTTTTTTTTATTGATATTGAGAAATTGATAAAAAATAGTGTCAATTATGTTTAGTTTATCCACAACTAGCATTTGTTTCTTAAGTGTCCCTATAGGCCCCGCTCTAACCAAACTAATAAAGAATGAACAACCGGTTCTATAGAAGCGAAGCAAACTAATTACATCTCATCACTTATACACATATATATCAAATTAAAAAATTGAAAATGGTTTATGTTACTGCGCTTCTGAATAAATAAAAAACATAAAATTCGGAAGTAAAAAACATAGATATATTTCATAATCAGCTAAACAAAATTCATTGATTTAAATAAGTTTCAATACACTTGTAACATTTGATGCAAATTACACCAGTAAAAAAACAATTTCTCATTAACAAGTAAAAACTTATCAAATAGTCATAATAAATATAAAAAAAAGTCAGAAAAGTTGTCACAAGTTCGATAGTTTCTTTTATAAAAATGTTCTTAAGGATTTCTAAAATATACTTTATAGTTTTATCATATCCATTATATTATCACACATTTTTTTATACGACCATGAGTCACCTTTTAAACGGCTATGACGGATACCTAACAAACAAAAAAATTATAATACAATATATTTAATAAAAAGTGATATGAGAACATATTGCAAGGAGAAAGACATTTTTTTTAAAAGTAAGAAACGTTCAGAAATAACCACAATAATTGTGAAATAAAACCTAAATAGTGAACTTAATTTTTAGTGTTTAAGAAACCTCCCAGTTTTAAAAACAGAAAAAGATTCATCAATTATTGGCAAATTTCTGTTTTTAAAACTAGGAGGTTTCTTAAACACTAAAAAGTCAGTTCACTATTTAAGTGTTTACTTGCAAATTAAAAAAGAATCTTTTTTGATGATATCTTTAAAACATTCCCTCCTACAATGGCACGTTCAAGAAAGATAGGTGTTCATGTAAACTCCTAATGGTTTTTTTTTAATTGTTTTTTTAGTATATGACTCAGATAATACATTTTTGTTAACACTTAGTTTGGCATTAAATGGTATAACTTTAGCCAAGCATTAAACAAATCAAAGTATGGGGATAAGTTTTTCACTAAAAATAATTAGAAACAAAATTTGAGTCACGTAAAACTTTGTTTTGAATGTAATTGACTTAAAATACCTGTGACAGTGTCCAGACCAGGTACTGAACAAACTTCAAGTTGAAATATCAACTTATTTCTTCGCTCATCCAAACATTTGCATTTAAACAAATATCTAATACATAATATCATAAGTAATATGTTTTATAAAAATTATTAACAAAAAAACTAAAATGAAAATTCAAAATATCATATAGAATATCTAAATATTAAAAAAAATCATGTAACATTAAAGTAAACTTTGATTTTGTTTAAAAGATCACCTTGTAAGTTCAAAGGAATATATTTTATTATTTTCTTTCAACTTTATAATAGCATTTTGCAGTTCTCTGCGAACATCATTTGGTGGTTTGGTTGAGGTTGTGCTTACTTTATAAAAACCCTATCAATATTTATAAAACATTTTCAATTTCAAAAAAAAACTAAATATAAAAATAATATATTGGATAATACTTTTTGCATTTCTGAAATAATGATAATACGCTCACCTTTTTAGAATATATTAACAATATCTTAACCTTAAATGTAATAAAGAGGAAAAAATTGATAACAAATGGAATTTTCTTGATGATGATTATTTTTTATTAATTAATGACCAATTACACAGGTCTACTACTATCTATTACTTATACAGGTCAACTACTATCTACTATTTACACAGGTCTAACAAGTGATTAGTGTGAAAGTGGGAGAGGGGGGAACATTGGTATGTTTCAACAAGAAATTGACAAAAAAATTTAAAATTAAAAAAATAATTGGAAACTAATACTTTTTGCTATTTTTCAAATGAGTTGGCAACATTTAAATATAATTTGTTTACAAAAATTAATGGTTAAATACAATACTTTTAAATTTTCATAACGTAGTATTTTGTATCAATCTCCCTTACATAGGGAGCAATTAAAAAATTGAATTTTAAAAACTTGAATTTAAAAAATAATAACCTACATATTTGCAACGTGTAATAAAGTAAAATACCAATGCTTTCCGGATTTTAATGTACCAACCCTCACCCTTTACCAGTGAGTGCCTCAGAGTAAATGAATATTCCTGAACCGCTAGTATTGTTAGATGATCCAAGAATTTTCCAGAATATTTTAGAAAATTTAAGAAACTTACAGAACCTAAATGTAAGTTTTAAACCCAATCAGAGTTCTACGGTATACACACTACAGTTGGCTGGCTATATTGTGTGTTCTATATAAGACGATGATTATATAATTATTGATTAAGCATATAAGATGATGCATTTAATGAAAAATTAAGCATTAATAAATACATCTATTTAAGGTAAGATGTTCCCTAGCACAAAAATAAGATATTTCCAAGCATATTTTTTAAACTATAATTTTAGAAAATAGTTCAGGTTAGGATTAAAGGAAAATATAGTTGCTAAAACATGAATGATTATCTACAGACAACATTAACTTACTTTATAATTAAATTTATTTTGAAGTATCTACAGACAGGAGTGATTTTAGCAGAGGTTTGGGTTATATTATCTCTTCCTGTGTGTGTAAGTAGCTTTATTTTTATTTCCATTAATTATTATTCAATTTCAACAGCATTAACTTTATAATTGATTTTCAACAATATAAAAATATAATATACAATCTTTATAATGAAAATAAATAAAAATTATATTATTATGATACCTTGACTTTCCTTGGAGCGTCTGCACCTTGTTTTCTAGGAGTCATCAAGTTAACCACCCTTTTTCCTATCTTATTTTTTAAATGAAAACATCGATTGCTATATATTAAACAGTTATAGAGTAAAAAAAAATATATAACAATAAAATATTTACATACAACTATTAGAGGTACAAGAATCAATAAAAAAAGCTTGGATTATTATTTTTTGATATTTTACAACACTTTTGGTGAAACACAATTAACTCACTCTTTTTGCAAATCTTGGTGTTGTAGTGCCCATTGAAGACAATATAGAGTTTTTTTGTAAAGCTGGTGTTAGCGTCAATAACTTGCTTAAGTTGTCAACATGAGAAGATGCTTTTCTTATTTAAAAAAAAGAAAGCGAAACATAAATCATTCAAAACTTAAAATATCCAACATAAAAAGAGTTTTAAAAATAATTGGTGAAAAATCTTTTTACATTAATAAAAAAAATTTCAAAATGTTAGGTGTAATAAAATATAAAAAGCTATTAAATGAATTATATAATGATAAAACATAGCTCAAACTTTTTTAATTACATAAAATTAAAAACAAATTATTGAATAGATAAATTTTTTAGACAAACCTATTTGATAAATTTTATGCATCAACATCTTATAAAAATGCAAAAAGTGTAAAAAGAAAAAAAAAAACTAAACACAAAAAATCAAAAGTTGAAAAGTAAAAAAAGGTTACACTGTAAATTGACAATAAAGTTAAAATGGATAATGATGTGTTTAAAGTATATGAAATATTAAACTGATTGCCTAACATATTTTTAACTATTTTTGAAGATATTTTAGATAATTTAAATGTAAAAGTATTTTCTTTATAGTTTAAAAGAAAATTAAGTTTATTAACTTAAGATGGGCATACAACAATCAACTAAAAAGTAACAATTTGCCCTTAATTATAACTTACATCTTTATTTTGTTTCCAACTTTTGATCTTTGAGCATCCATAAAACAACAAATGATCTTTACTACATACTTTTTTTGCTGCACTTACAAACTAGTACAGTACTTTGTATGGTAAATTTAATAATATGGAAGTGATGCCATTTTTTAAAACTTGATACCTAGTCTTAACCATTGTACAAATCAAGACTGATTAATTTTATCAAATTACAAGTTTATGTATTTTCTGCCGAAAATTTAATTAAAGTTTTATATCAAAGTTTTCCTTCTCCTAGGATTTTTTATTTTTTTAAAAACAAATTACCTCCCAAAAAGGCTGCAAGCAACCACTAATTAAGTTGGGAGTTAACAGAAAACAAAAAAGTGAGTTAAAAAGCCAGAAAGTGGTTGACAGTTTAAGAAACTTGGATGAGTTCAGAAAATGTGAAGATGAGAGAGAATTCCAAATCACTGATGTTCTAGGAAAAAAACTAGATGAATAAAACAGCAGATGCATCCTTTGCAATTGATTACACAATTTGAGGTAGTGAAGGATTTTGAAGACATAAGTGTTACCATTCAGTAATATAGGAGTAATAAGCTAATAGTGCTACTCTAATGACCAGATTATTTGAAAGATCAATAGACGAGGAACAACAAAGAAACAAAAATAGAACTTTGAGGTACTCCAGAAATGAGAAACATCATAGACAACTTTAAAACCATCATAGACAACTTTAAAACCATCATAGACAACTTTAAAACCATCATAGACAACTTTAAAACCATCATAGACAACTTTAAAACCATCATAGACAACTTTAAAACCATTATAGACAACTTTAAAACTGTGATTAAAGAAACAATTCAATAATTTTAAAAACTTTTCTAGATACATCATATGAAATGAACTTATGGAGAAGACCATAATGCCTGACTTTATTAAAAGCCTCTATGTCAAGAGCAGTAGCCCTTGCCTCACTGTTCCTATCTAATGCAAAATAAAACCTTTTTGTTATAACGGTTAAGCAGTGGAAGAATAGGAAACACATACTTATTGTCAGAGAGTAAACCGTTAGACTCAAGATAAGAAAGCTGCAAATAGGTACACTTACATATTTTGAGGCAAGGAATCTAATAAAACAAGTTATTCATTTGTTATTTTTTTTTTAGATGTTTTGAATAGTAGAAAGATTAAAGTAAATGTTTATTAATTTCAGAAAATTTTCCAACCCACTTTGAGCTTATTAAAACCTCCTCCTCTGTTTATTAAATTTTACTTATTATGAACAAAGAAACTGTAAATCTTAAAACTAAAAAAATTATTATTTTCTTATTTTTTAGATCTGTTTAGGTCTTAAAAATTAGAAAATATAAACTCACTTTAAAATAAAAATGAAAATTCCAATATTTATTAACTCTCTTCCACCTTACTCCAATTCTTCCCCTCCCCCTTCTTCACTCACTTACCTTCATTAATTACATCTGGATAAAAATTCCCACCTATCCTTTGGTTCCCAACCCACCTTCTGTTAGGCACCTGAGAGTAACTTGACTGAAACAGTTTTGGGGTCTTAATAAGTTCAGGGTGGGTATGAAAATTTTCTGAAAATTATTAAACATCAAATTCCATGTATTAAGCAATTAAGAGTACCAGCTTTTTCTTCTTTTAATTTTTCACAATTCCAGTTTTATAAGTAACAAATTTAAGTAAATTTGAAAAATAAAAAAGTTGTATTATTGGATTCCTTGCCTCAAAATATGCAAGTGTGCATATTTGCATATAGAGCTTTCCATTGCACACAGAATAGAAACAAAGACCAAAACCATTTTTTAAAATTGTAGATTTTTGTTGATTAATGGCAAAGTTTAAATAGTTATATCTTTGAAACCATTTGGAATTAGATTATGAAATTTTGGGTATGTTCATAACTTATTAAAATCTTTGAGTGGTGTAAAAATCAGCAAAATCTGAGGCCTAACATTGCATTTTATAAAAAATTAGACGATTTCACATAAAAAAGTAAAGATTCAAAGACTGCTAATAAAAGTAAGAAAACTGATTGGATTAGAGGGTACAATATTATTTGCAGTATTTTTTAAATTCTGTAGAAAATTTTCTACAGTATTTTTTAAGTTCTGTAGAAAAGACTGTGACAAGAATGTTATCTGCACCACAAGCTGTAGAGGAGTTCAAGTAAAAGCAACAGAAGTAGGAGTGATTTTTATTAGTAGATAAATCTGTTTCTTTGGGATAACAGGAAAAGCATTGTCACTAGTTTAAAGATAAATTAGAGGAAAAGTACTTTGCAAAGGTTTTTGTGAAAAAGACAAAAAAAAAAAATGAAAAATGAATACAATTAGAAAAAGCAAATAAAGAAAAACCATGTGGTAGAGTAAGACTTTAAAATGAGAAAGAATAAAAGCATGCCTGAATAAATCCAGGAAATGAAAACACAGTTTTTGTAAGAGATAAAAAACATCAGCCTGAGGACCATTACGCCTTAAGGTAGTATTAAGAATTTCAATGATAGAGTGTCACCAATAAAAACAATATTGGTTGTTGGCGGGATAAAAGAAAGATGATGAAGTGAAGAGGTACTAAACTAAAGCACATGAAAAAATAGTCAAAGAATTCATAATTTAACAATCAGGTTATATAATATGTAAGCATTTAATATATATGTAGATTATGATTAATATAATATATAATATGTAAGTATATGATAAAGAAATACCTGATTTAACAAATAGGCGATAAATAAGATAAACAGGAATGAGGCAACTCATTCCTGTTTATCTTATCACCTATTTGTTAAATAAGCGATAATTGTTGTTGGCACTCCACACTAAAAATACAAGCAGGGACACTTCAATGTACATGGGACAGTTAATACTCTGATATTTTACAGCTGTTGATGAATCAGCTTCCCTGAGAGCTACCACAAAGTTTAAGAAACTTTACTACTAACCAGCCTCAGAAACAATAAACTGAGTTGTAGAACTTTACATACTTTGAGAGATAATAGAAAAAGTTGCAAAGTCTTCGCAAATAAAAGAGTATTAGCTACTTCCGAAGAGGCACAAGCAAAAACCTGCAAATAGAGTAAAGAAGATTCAATGTTCAACAATGGTCAACAGAAATTTTTTACTTACTTGTAAAGTCTTTGCTTGGGAGGACTCATGAGTTAACAACATTTTTCATTAGTTAACAGAACAACTTTTTAATCATCAACAAATCTTTTTAGAGGTACATTATAAATAAGATGAAATAAAATGATCTTGAAAAATAAAAATTAAAAAAAAAAAAAACATTTTTGAGAAATCCAGTTAATGTGTATATTTATAACAAGTTGTGTAATCCATACTATATCATTGTATGCACAAGTCACCATAATAATAACAAAACATTGATAAAGAATTAATTTTTAAGTATAAGTTTTAATTTTAGGTTTCTATAACAATTTCCATTTTTAAAATCAAAGAATGCAAATAAAAATTCATACTCTCTAGTATCTCTCAATGGGGAAATATATACTTTTTCATCTGCCTCTAAACAAAAACATTTCATATATTTATAGTAACTCGTATTTTTTAAATTCATTGATAGAACTTCAGTGCAGTTCCAAAATCATAAAAAAGAAAGTCATTAAAGGGACCCTTAAGAGCCAAGACAAGTTGTGTTCATATTTTAAATAAACCTTAAAAAATAGGCTTAGAGTTAATTTAACTTACTATAACAAATTGTTTTACTAGGTTAAATTAACTCAAATTTTACCCATTAACTATAAAATAACTTATCTTTTTTTGAAAATTTCCAGGAAATTTTCAAATCAACCCTATTAAGTTTACTATAACAATCACTAAAACGCCATGTTTTTTAACAATCACTAAAAGGCCATGTTTTTTAACAATCACTAAAACGCCATGTTTTTTGTGAAGAAAAGTTCTGGCTATTTCTTTCAAAAGAAATAGTTTGATTAAAGTGTTTATTGATGATATAATAAAAATAAGTATTGTTGTTTAAAGTTAAATTATATTTTATTGTTTGGTTTTTCCCTTTTTTTTAATGTTAGGTATAAAAAAAACTCTAATTTGTTAACTTGCTATTATAATAAAAATTCTTTTTAAAATGTTATTTTTCATATAAAATTACATTAACATTTATTTTTTAAAACTGAAATGAAGCGAAAAAGTTTTATTATAATCGAAAATTAAAAAAATGGAAAACATAAGCTTTCTGCAAAAATCAAATTGTTTAAAAAAAAACTCTATGGTGAATACGCTATTCATTAAACAAACTAGATGTTTTTATAACAACAAAAAAAAAAAACTAAGCAGAAATAATAAATCTGATACTAGGTTTAGAAACGGAAATAAGGGAAGTTACAAAAAAGTTGAAATAAGATGAAGAAGTTAAAAAAAGCTGAAAAGTTTTTTGTTAATGCATGGCTCAATTTAACGGTTGGCCACCACCGAACTATTTTTGAGATCTGATTTATGGAGCAACCAACCATTGTTCATTTTTAATGAAAAAATCAACAATGGTTTTTTGCCCTCCTCTAGCAGATCTCAAAAATGGTCCAGCGATGGGACTGTTAAATTGAAGAGGGGCAGCGATGTCCGACTGTTAAATTGAGCACTGTTAATGTCAAGATTTATGCTTTCTTTTGGTAAATTAACTCTTTAAAATTATTTTCTAAGGTTTATTTAAGATATGAAAACATCTTGTCTCAGCTCTTAGAGATTCCTTTAAAATAATTTTTTTTCTAAATAAAATTGTACATAAAAACTGTGATAGAAAATTTAGGATTGAAATTTGGTAATTTACATTTAAAATTCGATTCAAACATAATAGCTCAAATTAAAAAAAAGAAAAGAATTAAAACTTATTAAACTAAAAAAGAAAAAAAAAATAGTTAATTAAATGAAATAATCGACCTTCATTTGAACAGCTTTTTGATCTGTTTTGACGAGTAGGAGTAATATCTATATCATCAATGCAAACACTCATGCAGTTCTGACGAGATGGTGTCTAAATAACAGAACAAAAATTTTATTGGAAAACTTTTATATTATTATAGTATTATTATTATAATATAATATTTTATATTATATAAATTTATATTATACTAGTTTCTTTTAATTTATTATTAATAATTTTTTCTCACATGACCAGAATTAAGAAAATAGAGGACCACTATAATTATTTCTATTCTTAAAATCAAATAAAGTTTGTTTTTAAATTGTACAAACTGTTAAGATACCTTATGAATTATCTTTGGTTCCTTTACCCTAGAAAATGTAATATAATATAAAACAAATATAATAATATAATATAATAAAAACAAAAAAACTTCATAATTACAATAACAAATCAACTCAATATAAGTTGACCAAATTATGTATAGTTAAAAAATGATTATGTATGGTTAAATAAGTTACCTAATTGGCGTTTTGAAAGAAACTTTTGGTCTTGGAACTTTTTGACGAAGTTTATACAATAAGAAATAATGTGCAGTTAAAGAGTCATACTTGTACTATTAAAAAAATTATTGTTTAATCATTTAAAATGTTATACACACATGCATATGTATATATATATATATATATATATATATATATATATATATATATATAATATATATATATATATATATATAGATAAAATATATATATATATATATATATAATATATACATATAAATATATATATATATATATATATATATATATATATATATATATATATATATATATAGATAAAATATATATATATAATATATACATATAAATATATATATATATATATATATATATTTATATATAGATAAAATATATATATATATATATAATATATACATATAAATATATATATATATATATATATATATATATATATATATATATATATATATATATATATATATATATATATATATATATATATATATATATATATATATATATATATATAGTTCAAATACATTTTTAGAATTTTTTGATCTGGTTTTTCAAGTTTTAGATATCTACGTTAAAAATAATACAAAGATTCATTTAAAATACAACCATATAATTAAAAAGAAAATTAAACATTGAGCTCTAAAACAATTTGTGTTGAAATTCCTATTGTGAAAACTTTGGAAAGTGCTTTATTAGGGACAACCAATATTCAGGCATCATATATTAATGCTAAAAAATCCTGATAGCGTTTTTTAAAGATGCTTAAAACTTGATACATGTTTGCATGCTGCTCCTCAATATCTTCTAGATTTTCAAGAAATCTGTGTAGGTGACTATGAAGTTATATGTTTCCATTGCACCTTAATGTTTTTAACTGTACAAGGAAGTCTTTTCCAGTTTCAATTAAATTTTTATCTTTCTGTTTTCTATTTTCTATTTTCAAGCAAGTTTTGCATCATGAAAGCTGAAAGCTTATGTTATTCATAAATTGTTTAAAATGGGAGCTGTCAAATATACCAGTTTTAAGCATCCATAAAGTGAGCTAACAAAATTTTGGACTAATTTAGAAAAGCACTATTTGTTTACAACTTGAACTTTAAAAAACTGTTACATCTCAGTTTAATATATTTTTAATATCTGAACAAAAAACAATATTGACTTCTCCAGGAAATAATTCAAAAATACAGGAAAGTAATGCTTTTTCCTCGTTCTCAATAAAAAGTAAATTTTAAACCTCAACAAAGGAATTTCTTTTTTTTTGTTGACAAAGCTTGTTTAGAAAAAAACCCTTACAAGACCATCTAATTTGTTTTGTGGAAAAGATGTCAGTTTATTGGGTACATATTCAAGATCACTTTCTGATGAGCTAAATTTTTTAAAATAGATTGATACTAAGTGCTTGTACCAAATACTACTTATACAAAAGCAGTGGTTGGGTACATTTAGCTTGGTTTTTATTGTTCAAGTCATGATGACATTACAAAATTAAAAGTCAAAGAATGAGTGGTTCTTGCAAAATGATAAGTATTTGAATTTAAAAACACTTTACTTTGCTACCTCTACAATCTTAAATATTTAACAAACACAATGAGGTGCCCATGAAATCTTATTTTTATAAATGAACATCATAAAATACAGAAAGTGGGTATTTTTGACGAACTCTGATATAACTTTCCTACAGTTGTGAAACACAATCACAACAATGTGAAACTTGAATGTTATCAAAAAAAATAATAATAATAATAAATAAATAAATAAACACATTATAAAAAGAAAAACTCAACTAAATGATAAAAATCAAAAGTAATTTGAGTTGCACAAAATTATGCAAAAGAAGTTTGAAATTAGCATGCTATAAACATAATCAGCCATGAAATCAATGCAACAGAAAAAAATTAATACTTTATCAACTAGTGTAATTAAACTAAATATGACAACTATGGTTGTCATGTCAGAGCATTATAAAAATATTAAGAACCAAAGTATTAACATTGTGACAAACAAAAATATAGTAAAAGAAAAAAAGGTTACTAATATCCACACAAAAAAATTACTTCTTTCACCATATCTTCCATATTCTGATCTAAACTAATATTGTAGTAATCAGATAACTCCTCAATAATTCTTGATTCTGGTTTATCTCTCTAAATTAAAATATAAAAACTTATTATGTTTCAAATTTGTCTCAAGAGTAAAAATAATCTAAAAAACTAATGAACATTTACCTTTAATGTACTCTGCCAATTTACATGTGAGCCATACCCTTCACACATCCAAGGATGTGTAAGCAAATCCTTAGTAGTTATTCTTTTTTCAGGATCAACCTTGAAATCCATCAAAAAACATTTCAAAAAACAACCATAATAAAAAAAGAACTAAAGAACTAAAATTATACAGTAAATATTTATTATAACAAATTATTTGTATGATATTTTTTATGTTCTATTCGTGAACATTTATGTAATGTAAATGTAAAAATAATGTAATGTAAATCAAATGAATATTATAATTTTTATCTTTTGAAAAAAATATTATTTTATGTATTTGTTTATTTCACATTTCATATTTGAGTTTCATAACTTATAAATTACTAAATTAAGAAAAAAAAAAAAGTACCTCTAACAATTGGCTCAAAATACCAACTGTTTCTAAAAATAAAACAATTTAGATTCAAAAAAACAAAAAAAGAGATGTAGTCAATAACAACACAATATTTTTATTCTACCGTTGCTTAACCATTCTGGAACATCAAATTTACCAATCTAAAATGTAAAAAAATACAGAACCGCTAGTATATGCTAACACAAATTTCTACTACTGCATATTTAATAATGTATTACTAATTTTCTTTAGTTATTTTTGATAAAATTAACATTAATGCAATATAATAATAAGGCATAAGAAAAATACCTTAATTTTTTCATACAAAGCAAAAGTTGACTCTTCTTCGTCAACATCAAATGGAAGAAATCCATTAAGCAAGCCATACAGTACAACACCTAAACTCCATAAATCTGCCTAAAACAGAATAAAATCAACATTTTGCTTAACTTTTGCAAACTGATTTTATAAAAATAAGAGAAAAAAAAATCAACTCTTATGAAATTAAAATACAGTTGTTTAATTGTATACTTGTTGAATAGAGTTGAATAAATAATTTTATTTCTTTAAAGGTACCTCTGTTCCGAAGTAGGACTTTCCAGAGATCAGTTCTAAGATAAAAACATAAAATATTTAAAAGAGAAAACATTCTAATTAAAGAACACAAAACTGATGACAAGTAATTTTTAAGAGGGCATTAACACAATAGCAGTAAGCAACAAAGTTGTAAATGATTGGAGTTTAAGTTTTTTATAAAATGAAGCTAGAACAAATTTAATTTTGCAGTTTGAGCTCAAAGTTACTTTGCATTAAATCTATATAGATCATAAATTTATCAATATCTTATTTAACACAAAAATTATGGTTTTTTAAAAAAGTTTTTTAAAAAAACCATAATTTTAAAACCATACTTTAAAAAGTTTTTTAAAAATAAGAAATTGATAATATATAATTATATAAAATATAATTTCATATTACTTTTTAAATTTTAAAAGAGTTTCAAATTTAAAGAATAATCAAATTAAGAAATTTACTTGTGCATTTTTCTTTTTACTAAAATTCAAAAAAAGTAAGTAGTAATATTTATATGACAAAATTATCATTTAGGATTAAGGATTATTGGAGAATTAAATTCAATGAAAGCTAAATTATACAAGACTTATCCCCTAACATTAAATTTTTTAATTACAATCTAACTGATTGAAGTTTTAACTCTTAAAATAAAAAAGCCAGATTGTTAAATCATTACTTAGAATTTTAAATTTTATTAGCCATATTTAGAAAAAATATATGTAAACAAATAATACTCAGCTTTAATTGTAAAAAAGCCTAAAAAAATAAATATATATGTTAACACAATATAGAGATCATGATATCATCCATCCTAATCATTCAATAAATTAGGCATTAGTACCTCTGCCATATCATTCTATAAGCTTTGCTATAATATTTTAAGTCAGTAAAAGTTAGTTAGTAAACTTTGTCATCTTTAAGAAATCTCTTGAATGAAAACAGAATGGCAACCAAATGAATATTTTTTGTTTTTTCCATGATCAAAGCCAAAAAACAAACAAATAAAAGTAACTTTTTAAACTGTAGTTGAATCTAAGAGATGGATTTTTATAATTATATAATTTTTATTCAGGATATTTCTTATCATTTATCTTATTTATCATTATTATCATATTATTTATCTTATTTATTATTTTATATTAGCCATCCTAATTCAATCATCCTTATCTAAAAGCTTCCCTATTCAATTAGACAACCTATTCTATTAGTCATCCTATTTAATTAGCATTCATTCTATCAAACATCTATCATAGACCTTTTAAAAGTGTATGTTATTTTATCCAGCATCTATCATACAACTATCAAAGGTGTACTATATTTTATCCAACATCTATCATACACCTATCAAAGGAGTATTATATTTTATCCAGCATCTATTATACACCTATCAAAGGTGTATTATATATTAAAAAATAAATATTGTTTATCAAAACAACAATGACATTTTAACAAAAATTATTAACAAATAACAATAATCAAACCTGGGGCAGCATAAGCAGGAGATCCACAACACGTTGCAAGAGGTTGAAACAAATCTGTTTCTGGGTTAGAAGCCAACCCAAAGTCTATAATTTTGATGCACTAAAAAATTTTATTTTATTTTATTTGTTTGTCATTTAAATTTTGAATGTTTACTAATGCAACTGATTTTTATGGGAAATTTAAATTAGTTTTTTTTTGTTGTAATTTGTCAAAGCTATAAACACTTTTATTTAAACTATATAACATTTATACATATGAATGAATGAAAGTTAAAATAATAAAATTAAAATAATAACATCAAAATAATGCTAAATGAATATCAAAAATATATAAATAAAAAAAAACCACTCTACATTTTTGTGGTTTTACATTTTTTAACATTTTTAAATGTTTTTTTTTATCATCATTTTATCATTTTATAAATCATTGTGTAGCACGTGGCATTGCTTGATGGCTTAAAAAACAGTTGTGATTAACGTTCTGTTTTTATGTTGGTCATCTTAAGTCACCCCAAATAGACCATTCCTTCTCAACTCACTTCAGAAGTACACTAATACCCAAGTAAAACTAGAAAATCAAGATAATTAGAATAGTGTAGAACAAACAATAAATTTTTAAAAAGATAGCGATGCGCTAAACAATTTTCTTTGAAACAAAAATTTTTAAATACTGTTCATTTTAACCCTGGTTGATTATAATCAATGTGTAAATAGAAAACAAATTTTGGTTGAATGTTGTGTAAAATCAACAAAGTAAGTTTTTTGAACTGAATTGCTTAAATTTACAAAAACTATGTACACCCAATAAAAATACAATCCTCTTTTGCACACCCAAGAATTTAATAAAAAATTTGTTTGAACCAAAAAAAAAATTCAAAAACAATTTTTTCACACCTGAAAAGGAAATTAAATAAAAATTCTTTAACAACTTATAAATTGATGAAAACACTTAAATTACTTTTGAAAAAATTATTAATACTTACATTGTTTCCATCCAAAAGCATGTTTTCCTATAAAAATAAATAAAAAAATGAGATTCAATTATAAATAAAAATAAATAAAAAAATGAGATTCAATTATAAATAAAAATAAATAAAAAAATGAGATTCAATTATAAATAAAAATAAATAAAAAAATGAGATTCAATTATAAATAAAAATAAATAAAAAAATGAGATTCAATTATAAATAAAAATAAATAAAAAAATGAGATTCAATTATAAATAAAAATAAATAAAAAAATGAGAATCAATTATAAATAAAAATAAATAAAAAAATGAGATTCAATTATAAATAAAAATAAATAAAAAAATGAGATTCAATTATAAATAAAAATAAATAAAAAAATGAGATTCAATTATAAATAAAAATAAATAAAAAAATGAGAATCAATTATAAATAAAAATAAATAAAAAAATGAGATTCAATTATAAATAAAAACAATAAGTTTTTTTCTTTTTCTGTTTTTTAAGAAAAGAAAAAAAAGTTTCGGTTTCAAATGCAGTAATATATAACTAATTTATTATTTATTATAGCTGATTCATTTTATCTTCAGGACAATAAAATGAATTAAAAAATTTATTTGCCATAACATTTAACATTTTAACTGTTGTTTGGTTACTAACAAAACTTCAGACTTTTTTTTTTTATTTCAATTCAGCTCCTAGAGACCATGAAGGCCACTACAATCAAGGTGGCCACTTTGAATTGTGGCTACAAGCCTCTCTCAACTGGTAGTGGTGTAGAGGCAAGTGCTCTAACACTACACCACTAACAAAAATTTATTACTTGAAAAAAATGAATTAAAACTTATTACAAAACTTAATTTAAAGACAATGGAGTGTATAAAAAATTTGTTTTATCGAAAGATAGAGCGATATTAAAATATTCATTAAGAGTAATGTTAACTTTAGCTTGTTAGAAATTAAAAGTTAACTGTCTTTTTACAATAAAAGAACAAAAGTAAAAACTTCAGTCCATTAGCAATATAGTAATGGTGCTAACTTAATTTTTGAATGAATGTACTTTTAATCTTTACCTTAATATTTTATTTTACTTTAGGAAAACGAAAAAATGAAACGAAAACTTTTTCAGAAATTTTTTCTTTTCTTATTGTTTTTTAATTTTAACTTTAATTATAATATGTGTGTGTGTGTATGTGTGTGTGTATATATATAAATATTCTTTTAATTATTAAGTTTACCATATCTCTTTTATTTAATGCCCTTCCATAAAGTATGTACACAGGTGTGGGGGAGAGAGTTACCCAAAAATGTATGAATACGTACAAGGGGTAGGGGGGGGGGGTGTTAAAGACAGTGAGTATGAACGCGGTTTGATTATTTCTTGTTCTCTACTTTTCCTTAAACTTAACTTTTTTTTTAACAAAAGAAATGAACTTCACATGTTTAAAAAATCAATATTGCATTTTGTAACAGAGAAAAATTGAAGTAACTAAAGGTTTTTTTGTTTTTAATGTTATAAAAATTTATGCGATTTTTTAAAATGCATATGTATGCAGAGAGAGAGAGAGAGAGAGAGAGAAAGAGAGAGAGAAAGGAGAGGGTCATTTACAGCATACAGGTGCGTACAAGAGGGGATGGATAGTCCTAAATCAGTGGTTTTACTGCGTACATACTTTATGGATGCGCCCTAAAAGAATTTTATATAAAGCACTGAATGAATGAAATAGCTATTATTTAAATTGAAATGAAAATTTAAACAATTATTAAACACTTTGTATTCCATGTTTTGTATTTGAATAAATATTGTCTATATAATATATTATATATATAGCTAATAACTATTTGAATACAGGATATAAGCGTAACTACTTGTATGTTAATTTTGCAAGTACTAATGTTTTGTAATTACTGATTAAAAATTGTTAAAATATTTTAAACATATAATATAACTTAAACTAAAACATTTAGTAACTACAAAATTAAAATTACTAAAATATAGTTATTAACTTTTTAAAGTTCTTTAAACAACTTTCAATAAATATTGACAAATAGCTAGTATTTGCAACTTAAACTTCTATCAAAATCTTAAATAAAACAGTTTTTAACTTCATGTATTCAAAGAAACGCCTTTAAAATGAACAAGACGCTATTTAAATCAACTCCTTATCTTCAGATAAAACTAAACAAGGTTTAAACAAACAAAGTTATTAAAAAGTCAATGTCCTGGCATTGGTTTTAACTGAAGAGGGGGAGGGGCAGACTACCTCAAAAACATCCCTCTTACCCCCATCCCACCCCTCCCTCAAGTCGCTGGAAGAAAAAAAAATTGTTTCAGTGCAGTAATGTTTAATATCTTTTTTTGCAATTGGTTAGCACATACATTTTTGACAAGCAACATTTTATGACATAAATGCTAATTTATGTCATAAAATGTTGTTTTTTATTGTTATTGAGTCCCATATGCCCTTGATTTTACTGAATACATCAGCATAATTTGTAGGCTTAATGCCTTTCATTTGATGGTCAACATGTTTACATAAATATTTGATAAGATTCAAGCCAGGTGATATAGATGGCCATTTTGAAACACAAACTTTACTTTTTTTGAAAAATTATTGAAATTGTTATCCTGCTGGTATATCCATCCCTGAGGATTTATACTCTTTTCAATCACTTATAAATAAAGTTTTTTAATAACTTCCACTAAGTATTTGTTACAATACCAATAGGTTGGCAATATTTTGCCTGTCTGGAAATTTTCGGGTACTACTTTATGTGTGTGTAAATAAATAAATAAATATATATATATATATATATATATATATATATATATATATATATATATATATATATATATATATATATATATATATACATATATATATATATATATATATATCATAGATGAGTATTTGACTTTATGAAAATCCAGGATATTTTTTTTTATGAAATTCGCGGAAAATTATTTTATTAAAAATTGATTGTATTAACAGACAACAAAAACTTTCATAAACTTTTAAAACAGAATTTAGATTATTTAACTTTTTACAAAAAGGAAATTCTAATATTCGAAAAAGTTAATTAGAATAAATTTAAAAGCAAAAAAAAAAAAAGAAAAAAAAATTGTTACAAAAATTTATCTTGTGAAAATTTTAATTATAGAAAACATAAATTTTTAATTGGAAAAGTTGTTGTATTTAAAATTTATGTAAAAATACATAATTTTCTTTTCAAATTAATAACAAAAACATCCGGAAACTTCTGGAAAATTAAAGGAATTTGAAGTGAATTTCCGAAATATATAGAAATATAATAGCAATTTCTTTTCATGTACATTCAAAATGTTTTAAAATTACTCACTGGTTTAAGATCTCGATGTGCTAACCCATTAGAATGTATGTAAGCAACAGCAGATACTATTTGTCTGAAAAAACTTCTGCTTTCTTTTTCCTTAATATAAAAAAAATTTTAAGAAAAATTTCTAGGAAAACAAATAAATAAAAACTAAATGAATGATTTTAAATAAAAATTTAAAACTTTTAAATTGCATAGCTATTATTCATATAAAACTCACGGATAGGCGTTCTCTAGAAACAATATAGTCAAACAGCTCACCACCAGACACATACTGTAAATAGATATTTTTGTTGCAATGTTAAATCTGCAGTTGTATATAGAGTAATGTATATAAATTATAATTAATTTACAATCATTAATAAAAATATAAAAGCGCAGTAGAAGTATTGAAGCATATAAAGAAAATTATAATTTATAGAAGAAATAAACCTTTGCATTAAATTTTTTTTCTTCTAAAAAGGTATATTTAAAAAATAAATATAAAAAGATATATTTAAAAAATAAAAGTGAATTAAAGGTTTCACAATTTAAACATGTAAATTGTTATTAAAGTGTGACACAAAACACCCAGGGTTGCCCACCATTTTTTGAAAGAATCTAATTGAAAACTTTTTTTTACTACAGCTCCATATATTTATCAATTTGGCAACAATTTTGTGTGTTTTTTAGATCTGAAATAAAACTTACTGCACTTTTGAGTTTTTTTTCAATACAACTTGTAATATTATTTTTATCTGCATTAGGTGAAGATGAGGTAGCATCATTATAAATATTAACATGCTCATCTATAAACATTTGTAGATGTGTTTGTTCCATAATTTTAACAATAAATGAAATTGACACAACTTTTGAGGAATATTTAAAATGATCATTAAACTTGGTATATTTCTACTCAGTATATAAAGTATCAGAGTCATTAAAATTAAATCTCTACTCTTGCCCATTCCTTTTTTAATAGCATGTATCAGTTTTTTGGCTATATCAGTTTGCATTGGTTGCAACTTTTCAAACAAAAATTTTTAAACTTGTTCAGCTGTTACGATATTTGCATCAATTTTACTCAACTCAGTTTCAACTGGTGCAAGAGCTTCAACAAGGCTTTGTAGCGCAAAATCAAAGTTTAATTTAATTAAAGATTTGTTGATACATCTGGATAGAATTAAAAATCTTAGAACCATTACACTTAAGGAATTCCATTCAATTTTTAAGTTACATTTTAAATTGAGTTTTTTGACTATTACTTAAGTTGAATTTTGTTTCAAAATAGAATGCTTTGTATCCATTTTGTAAAACATTCTTATAACACCTCTTAAATTGGAATTTAAGAGGCATTATAAGAATGTGCCATAATCACTCTCTGCTAAATGCAGAGCATGATTATAGCAAAGTTGATTTACAAAACCTACAGTAGGAAAATAATAATAAATAGGAAGAATATAATAAATATAAAAAGTATAAAACTATACTAAAAAATTTACAGATTTATAAACTATTTTTTTGAAAAATAATTTACACAATTTAAAAAATTTAAGTTGGAGAGGAAAATTGTTTAATGTTTTATATTGTATGAATTCATAGACATAATAAAGAATATAGTAATTAGGTATGGATAACTTAAAGTTGCAAACAGAATATAAAATAATATTACAATTTTCTCAATAATTAAAAAAGCTAGTCAATGGTAGGTTATTATGATGATACTTCCAAGCAAATAGGCAATTTGATAGCTGAACAATTTGATAGCTAAATTATAAAAATTTTAGATAAAAAATAGAGGATGTTAGAGTAAGTATGCTATAAAAATTTATTTTATGGCTTTATTTTATATTAGAGTTTTAAAAAAAAACATATCTTTTGGAGGCTTTAAGTAAACATGACAAATATTGGTTAACACTATTTCTAATCCAATGCTAAGTTGTGAAAATTACACATAATAAATTAGATTTTATTTTAATATCAAGATTTTTTATAGAACTAACAAGATTTTATTTTCCGGTGACTTAATTTGAAGTTTAGTTACATTTTTATTTTGAATTTTATTTTCAATATCCTTAAAATTTGATAACTAAACAATGTAGATCAAGATCCATATTTTTGTTAAGTTCTATTACTTTTTGAAAGAGTTTAGTTAATTAGGAGTATTTTAGTGTCATCCACAAAGTAATGAGCAGTAGAAAGTCAAGGTGAAACATTCAGATCATTTATAAAAAGGAAAAATAAGGACCAGAATACTAGGCCTTGTAGAACACCTTTAAAAGATTTATTGAATACCAAGTTGATATTGTAAGTTGAAACAAAGTGTTTTCTATTATAAAGAAATAAGAAAAACTATAATAAAGGAATACCTCTAACACTGTAGTGTTGCGGGATTGTGTTTATATTTGTAAACACCTTTTTGTTTAATATAAAGAGTGTTTAATGTAAAGTGCTTGTCTTTTCTGTTATTTTTATTAATGTATGAGTTGCTGAGTGTTATGAAAACCATATTGATGTTTGCAATGATATTACTCTAAAAATTTCTGTGAAATGTTTTCAAACAATTTACTTAATCTTGAAAAGTAGAAAAATGAGTTTTAATTTAGAGTTGTCAAGAAGAAAATCCTTTTTTTATTATTTTTTTTATCATACATATAAATTACTTTTGCTGCTAAAACACTCCTGAAAAAACAACATTTTTCAAAAAATTAATCTTTAGAGTACACAGAAAGTTGGAGATAAAACAATGATGGAGATAAAACAATGCATAGTATAATTTTTGAGAATGTCTCCATAAATTATGTGCAATTAATGGAGACTATTAATTGCACATAATTTATGGAGACTAATTAAATTATTATGTGCAACTTCATTCTTAAATTTAGCAAAAAGTAAACTTTCAGTAGTTAAATTTTTTGACCTAATAGAAAAATCAAAATCTTAAGTACACACAAGGAAATAAGGGTAAAAGTTCAAATTGTGATACCAGCATGAAACTTGGCAAAATTGCTGTCAACAACTATACAAATTGATAGGTAAAAAAACCCCATTCATAAACTAGTCTTTGGTTTCGAGTTATAGATAAATTGATTTAAAGGACTTCATCTTATAATGTAAAATCAGTTTTAAAAAAAAGCAGAAACAACACACATGGTCATACTGTAAACGTTTTATAACAAACACAACTTAATCATTTTTTTATGTAAGTGCAAACAGTGCATGTAAACAAAAAAAAAAAAAAAATTATTTGCTTGCTTTTTGTTAATAAGTTAGTAAATATATCTTTCGTGATAAGTAACTTTCATGAATGTATAAGCCATGCATTTTTTTTTCAGTTATAACTTACCAATGAATTTCCTATATATTTTTTTTATTTTGTTAATTATTTACTATTTTCAAGCTTTTACCCATATTATAAACTTTATAATGTTGGTTAAAGCTCGAACAAAGCAACCGAAAATAAATAACCTTACAATAAATTTTCAGTTGTTTTTACTCTTATTTATATTTATGCAAAATAAGTGAGCCTATAAAAATACATATAAAATCAAATAACAAAAATAAGCTATAGAAGTTAATAATAAATTGTAATGTCTCATAAGAGTTTCAAACATGCAAATGCTACAACAGGTTATGAATTACTAACAAAAACAAATAATGCGACAGATTGGGATAAATGTTTCATATGTCAAGAGCAATCATCAATCAATAGGGACATTATTAAGTAAATTAATGCTGAAAATTCTGATTTATCTTATACAGGTAATTTGTCAGTTGGTCTAACTTCCCAACCGCAATGCAAAGATTTGCTTTGCGATTACAATAACAATGCAGTATATCACAACAATGTTAAACAAATTTTGATAACTGTCACTACCAGAGAGCATCTAAACAAAGAAAATAGATGTGACAGAAGATAACATCAATCCAAAGCCATGGTACAAGGTCAGAGTTTCAGGCAAACAGTTGTTAAGAAAATTGTATCTTGTATGAGAATTTGGATAATTATATAACAGGACATGTTCTTTACACATGTGCTTTTAAGACCAACTAGTAATGAAAAGCAAAAACAACATTGTTTACAGGATTGTTCTTGGAGAAATAATGGAACATATCTATCAGTGCTATAAAAATGAAGCAATAATTCCTGTGTTTGAACTATCAGGACAATACCAATTGTTTTGCAAGTGTATAAAAAGTTTCAAATGTGAATACACTTGAAACTTTTTTGTTTAACTTTTGGTTAAACCTTGTACCAGATTTAAGTTATTAAGGTAAACCTTGTACCAGAGTTAGGGGAATTTAAAAAAGGTAGAAAAGTTTTGCTGAAATTAAAAGTGGATATGGGAAGTGCTGCATTTGATGCTTGTTATTTAACAAATGAGAAAGAAGGAATATTTTTAGAAAGAGCAGCAACTATTTTGCGAAACAAATTTTTAAAATACTAAGTACTGATAATGTTCCCACAATTTCAAACAAGAGTCAATGCCATTAAAACCACACTTACAAATCAACTATGCAAGCTTTACAATGATAACAACATGGTTTGCCCTCCTTCACTGAATCAAAATGTTTTTACAACTGCAGCAATTGATAACATCAATCACAACCCTGAGTGAACATGGTGAGGTAGACCTACCTGTAAAGAGGTTTGGTTACAATTTTTCAGAAAAAGTAACACTATTTTGGAGTTACCATCATACAACACAACAATGCATCCTATACAACAACCAATTTCCACCAACTTGAAAACTTTGATGCTTTTAGTGAGTTGTAAAACTTTAATTACACTCAAGAGCCGTAATTAAAGTTTTATAAAACAAATCAGAAGGGGAAGGCACAAAGTAAATTTCTTGGGCAGCATCTCATGTAAAGACAATCATAGATAAACAGAAAAAAAAATACTTCTGTTTTGTTGCCAATCATTAATGAATCAATCAACTAAACATCTATGATACGACAAACTTTTAACATAATAATAACTCCATAATAACTGTTGACTAACCAGTGTTTGCTTTAGGTAAACAAGTTCAGTGGCACTACCTTATGGCGAAGATAAAGATTTTAATGATGATGGGTGGGTTACACATAGAAATGACTTCTTTATCTTTGGTTAAAGATCAGTTAGAAGGCTAAGAAAGGTATGCAACACAAGTTCATTAGATAACCATCTATATTTACTATTGACTGAAGCATTCCAAAAAATATCTACAACTTCTTTTGACTTGTGGATTCATTAGCAAAGAACAGCATACACCCAATTTAATTATTGGTTTACTGTTATGAAATTACAATAGTACAATAGTCCTGTTGCTTGTTAAGAGCATTGGAATTGGAAATTTAAATATTTTTGTCAGTGCCATGGAACAAATCGTTCCTTGGATGTTTGCTTTAGATCACACACTTTATTCTGAATGGCTTACAATTTTTCTTATTGACATGAGAATGCTCCCTCATAAACACCATGAGGTTTACACAGAGTTCTGCAAAGGTTTTTTCACATTTCAAAAGACAATATGCCCTTTTTCATCTATAGCTGTAGATCAGGTCTGTGAACATCAAAATCATAAAATCTATAGCTGTAGATCAGGTCTGTGAACATCAAACTCATAAAATCTATAGCTGTAGATCAGGTCTGTGAACATCAAAATCATAAAAGGAGATGGCGGCTCAACTGACATTTTAGATAGCTTAAGCGTATTGATAAAGTGAATGGTGTGTGAACCAGTACTTTCTGAGTTTCTACAGAGACTCTTCACTAGGATGCACCTGTCTTTGAAAAGATTTATAATAAACATGTATCAGAGTTTATTAAGTTTATAAGTTATAAAATATTTTAGAAACCCAGTTTTAGTAGAAGATATTCTCATACACCTGTCAATAAAAATATTACTTGACGCCAAAGCTAGGACATCCATCAAAAAAGCTAAGCAAACGGGTATTGAGTAATCCAGATGATAAATTCAAAATAGTTTATTAACTGGAAGGAATTCAATATATAAAACTATTCCTCAAAATAACTTAAGTCTGTTTAGAGAAAAATTCTTGTCACTCAAAAAGGAAGATTAAGTAATGCTTAAAAAAGAATGCAAAATGTTTGCATCACTTTATATTGCATCTCAACATAGGAATGGAAATTTAAATAGGAGATTTTTCGACATAAAAACCATGTTTATCCACTAGCAATATCTGAATATGGTAAACTCCAAAAAACTAATAAATTGGAGTACTTTAAATGCTTTGAAGAGTATTCAGCACCTACTTTGACTTCTCCTGAAAGTACTACTGCAAAGGTATTAGATGGAGGCGCAATTGTTCATATATTTCATCCAGTAAATTCTAAGACATTCAAGGAATATTCTAAATCTTGATTTTAGAGAAAAAATAATTAATATCACATCAACAAAATAAATAAAAAGGATAGACATAGTGACCATTTTTTTTAATGTAGTTTAAAAACCCAGACCAGGGAGAATCATGGGAATAGGGTGACAAAATGTGTTTCTGATTCAACTCCTATTTGGAAATACTGGTCACAGTTCTTAAGAATGGATGAAAATAAAACTGAGTTATTTAAAATGCTTACAACAAACTTTATACAAGTACCATCGCTTGACTTACTTTTAGTAAAAATGTTAGATGAACCCATTTAGTCCGATTTCAGAGAAGCTAATGACAAATCTTACCTTGTAACAACAAAGAAGCTAACACTAGAATTTTGCTACATGTTAAAAATGCAGTTAACAGTGGGCATCAAGTTGTCTTTATTTAAACAGTATGACACAGATCTTGTTGTGATCTCAATTTATGTTTTTAAACAATTAACTAGTATCAAGCAACTTTGGATAGAATTTGGAGTTACAAAACTTAAACGATGGCTTCCAATTTACTTTTATGAAAAAACGATAGGTGAAAAAGCAGAAGCTGTTTCATTGTGGTTTGCATTCACTGGCTGTGATACTCTTAACACCTACAAAAGATGCACTAATTCATCATTTCAAAAGAGCTGCGTTTAAAATGTATTTTTTTAAATACTAGAATGGACTTATTAGTTTATTCAAAAAATTTTTAATGAGCCAAATATTTAAAAATGATATTTACATATAATAATTTATTTAGTACCATATGGAGACAATTCTTGGTGCCACAACAAATTTTACCCAAGCTACTTAATGGGGTTGAAAAAAACAAATAACGCAATGACATCTTTGTGAATGACTCTACCTGAGGCATCAAAATCATGCACTAAGTTAATAAAAAATGGATGCAAGAGAAGTTGCAGAACACATTACTAATAGAAATGTTCAGGATTATCCTGCAGAGCTATGCAAGTATTCTGGTCAGTATTTAGAATAAAAATGAACAAACATTATTTTTATTAACTTATTTCCAAATTTTGAAAAAAGTTTTATTTCTTTGAAATATAAGTTTTTCTTTATGCCTATAACCATATTTTAATTTGTAATGGGGTATAGTTGTTTATTTATTTCTTCTTTAAATTCTGCTTTTAATGCAACCTTACATCATGGGTTTAAAAGACTATTTTTTCAAGTCAACTCAGTTGTGGGTTGCCCCAGGACCAAAAAATTATTTTTCGAATGAGTTCTTTTTTTTTTTTTAATTCTTTTAATTTATAGACAACTTTCTGAAAGTTTTAAGCTGGTATCACAATTTAAACTATTTTACTGAAAAATTTTACATTCCTTATCTTTAATTTTTTTATGAAAATAATGACAATAAAGATGGTGAAGAAAGTTAAATTTTCAAAATTGAAAGTTAAAGTTTTTGATAATTAAAAACGTACTAATGACCTTTAAAAAAACATAATAACGAAAACAATGTTAAAGGAGAAAACCATGCAGAGAATACAGTGTTACCACTTTTAGATGTGCATGTGCCGCATTTAGTAAAAAGAAACAACTTTAATCACTTTAGTGTCATTTGTTTGACATTTTTTTCCATTAGGCTAGATAAGGTTTCGATTAGATTTACATAATAATTCGATTAGATTTACATAATAATTACATTAAAATTACATAACAATTTCGATTAGATTTACATAATAAACAAGATACATAACAATTTATTAGAAAAACAAAAGATGGAGCCAAGACATAACTATATTTAAGCCAAAATTATGGACAATGGTGGAGATTTTTTTTGATATAAGTCATAAAATTTATTATATTAGTAAAATTAAAAAAACCTCAAGAACTAAAAAAATATCTTCGTCGGTTTCAACAACTTGATATAGTTGACAAATATGCTGATGGCAACCAAGCCGCTTCATGGCTTCAATTTCGCGATATGCTCTATGCAAGTCACCCTAAAAACATCTTCATCAAAAACATCAACATCAAACAAACATTTTCAGTTTAAAAAAATGTATTTTTCAATATTTAAAAAACATGCATAAATAATTATTTCAAATGAAAGAAAAAGCAATGAGCAACTACTTTAAATTCATTTCCTGCAAAAAATAAATAAGCATAAATCAATCAAGAAAGACCTCACTTTTCAATTATTTTTTGTTTTATTTCATTTTATACTTAAGCTTTACCTTGATATTTTTAATAAAATTTTTTTTATTTTTATTTTTACTGAAAAAAGGAGTAAATAAACTTTAAAAAAGTGACTAACAAAGATGTCAAAAAAGAGGTTAACAAGCATATTAAATTACAAAACGTAACATTAGACAGCTTTAGAGGTTTATTCAATGAAAAAGACATTTTGATTAAATAACTCACTAAATAATATATACTATAAAATGTATAAAATACAGTAAATTCCTGTAAACTCAAACTTCCTAGGGATCAAAAAAAACATTTTGACTAAAGGAATGTTTGAATTACCAGGAATTAACTATATTAAGTTTATTTAGGATCTCAAATAAAACTTGTAATAGAAGTATTTCAATTAGAGAAGCATTTTATAAAAATATATTAAAACCATGTTTAGAAAATCTTTTTTTGTAAAGAAATATTTTAAATTCCATGTTTAAACAACTTTCTTTTGTAAAAAAGATTTTTAAAACCATGTTTAAACTACTTGAAAAAAATAAATAATAATTCTGTAATAACCCTATACGTAAAGAAACTTGAGAAAAAAATCATTTTGAAAGAATACTTGCGCAACAGTTTTTAAGGAAGTAGCGTTTCTAAATGTGCACTTGTGGAATAAACTAGAAAGCATTTATTAAACTGTTGTAGAAAAAAATGTTATCATTTATTATTTAAATAAAAAAAATGTTATCATTTATTATTTAAATAAAAAAATGTTGTTAAAAAATTTTTCTAAAGCTAAAATTTAAAAAGTAAAAACTGAAACAATGAGTTAGTTTTAAGAGAGCACATATAACAGAGCACCTCAAAAATAAAAAAATTGACTAAACATAAAACTATTCTACTTGAAAACAAATGAAAGCATTTTAAGCATTTTATTATATACCTAAGTTTAAACATTCACTTATATTAAGTCTTTTTTTGATTTCAACAAAGGCATTGTTTCCCGATTACGCAATTGCATTCATATGTTAACGTTGTTCAAGTTATCTTCATTATTTAATTCTTATTCATCAAATGACATTCTAAAAAGTATATTTTGAAAGTCTTATGAAAGTCTTGATTTTGTTGTAAAACTGAAACTTGTCAATATCATATAAAAAATTAGTATTTCAATTACTTAGTTAATGATACGTATTTGATTCATAAAATGTAATTAAATATATTTATTATGCCGCGTTTTATAAGTTATTTTCTTTTAAGAACTGTTTCGCAAAGTTGAGGTGAACATCAACAGTTTTTTTTTGTTTCATAAAGTTCGGTACGAAAAAAAAAATTCCCAATTCTCAATATCCTTCTGAATAAAGTTTATTTCTTTCATTTTCAATGACAAATAAAACACTATATATATATGCATAACTTATATATAATACAAACTTGAAACCAAAGTTTAATTTTATTAGCAATTTCTTTAATATTAGAAACTTACCATTTTTTCAAGCATTCTTTTATTCATAACTTTGATGGCTACCTATAAACAAATTGTATTCAATTATTTAAAAAGAGCTATGAAAAAACAAAACAAAGTTAAAAAGGTAAAAATAATAAATTCTGAAGTTCCAGGGTAAAATAAAGTTTATTCAAAGAAACTATATCTAATCTTTTTCTTCAAAAGAAAAAAATATAAATATAAATTAATAAATGAATAAAAAAAAAATAAAAATATATATAAATTTTATGTTGTTGCGATAATATACATATACATATATGTATGCGATAATATACATATACATATATATATATATATATATATATATATATATATATATATATATATATATATATATATATATATATATATATATATATATATATATATATATATATATATATATATATATACTTATATGTACAGGATGTAAACTAGCCCTGTGGCGCCCAGTCAAACGCTGTATTCCCAAATGCTCATAAAATTAAAATTCCTAATTTAAAGGTGAAAAAATCCCATTCTCTAAATAAAGTTTGCCAAATTAATAGTTCTAAAAATTATTGAAAATTAAATATTATTAAAAACTAATAGAAAAAAAAAAAAAAAAAATGCTAACTCATTAATTGCATAAAACTTGAAATAAAATTGTCATTATTGGTATAACTACGCGATTGCATATCTGCGAAAATATCTCTTTGACAAAATTTCTTGAGAATTGGGATTTCCCAAGTGATTTTAGAGATTTTCTCAGCAACTTGCTTGTAAAATTAATTTCTTTTTTTCTTTTTTTTTTATCTTTACAATGTTGTGATTCTACATATTTTGCAAATAATTTTTTTTAATGCATTCCAACATCAGCAAATATTATATAAAAAATTTTTTTCAATGCATTCCAACATCAGCAAATATTATATAAAAAAGTCAGCAAGAAATAAAGCACTAATCTAAAAAAATCTAAAATAATAACAAATTTGCTCGATTTAGCACCCGCAAATAATATTTCTTTAAAATGTTTTGACATTTTTGGCTGAAAAGTTAAATAACTTATTAAGTCTTACTGCAAACTCAACTTCAAGTAGTACATGTGCTTCGTCAACAAAAATATTGAGAAGCCTTTTATGTCAGATACTTTTAAAATTTTGATCAATTACTGCTATTACGGAAAGAGGTTGTCCATAAATTACGCAATGCAAAATATTTTTAAAAAATATAAGTCACAGATATTAAGCTCTTTAACGCGGAGATTTTTATTAAACTGAATGGGATATTATGATTATATATTTAAATTAAGACTCTGAGAGGGAAAACTTTTTATTTTTTTTGTTTTGTTTATTGTGAAAGTTTTCATTATGTAATTTATGGACGATTCATAAGTCTTTTAGTTATTGTTTTTCATTTTTTTGTTTGGTATTTTATATCAACTGAATTATGTGATCACATCGACTAAAATCTTTTTTCACTTATCTACTATTAGTTCAATAACTTTTTTTTAAAAACCATCTCTGAAATACAAGTTAACTATAAAAAATGTTTTATGATTAAAACAAATTGGTACTACAAATTTGTTGAACAAGCAAAATAGATCAAATATATTTCTTTACTTTACTGCTTGCTTGTATTTAACACGAAATACGTATATTAAAACGTAAATTAAATACGTTTAATAACAAGAATGTTTTTTCTTATTACAACAAACTGGTACTAGAAATCTAAATAGCAGAAAACAAGATTCACCGCTTGCTCGAATTTAAAATGTTACATTTTTAATAAACATAGTCATAACATTTCATAACTATGAATGAAAAAATAACTATTGGTATTTTTCATTGCCACACAATTGCTTGCAATCAATATTCTACTATAATTAAACGACATTTGTTGTTGTTTTTGCTGAGACAGTAATTATAACCTTATTTCGTTATGCGATTTATGAATAAAGAAAATTATTATTAATTATTAAGTTGAACTTGCAATAAATGTGAAATATAAAATTTGCGAGCTAGTTTTTACTATTTTAAAACCTTATCTTTTTTAAAAATATTTCTTTTGATGACATTTTAATCTCAGCCGTAAGGAGGGGGAAGAGCAAGATTATGAAAAATTCCCAATTTCGTTAAAATGTTGTTTCAAATTTATTTCTGGTTAACACCCTGATATATATATACATATATACATATACATATATATATATATATATATATATATATATATATATATATATATATATATATATATATATATATATATATATATATATATATATATATATATATATATATATATATATATATATATATATATATATATATATATATATATATATATATGTAATATATACCACTTTAATTAGTCATTGAAACTATTCATTACGTTTTTACTGACAATAAACAGGTGTTTTATCATGTTATTATGTGTTAACAACATATAAGATATAAATAGAAACATTTATATGGTTAACTTTTGCGATTCTTTAAGTATATTAAGTAAATTTTATAGTTGAATAACTGTAAGTTACAAAAGTAACTTAACTGGTTGTTTTGATTTAGTTTAAAGGTAATTTTACTGTGATGTACTTTATCCACTAAATATCAAAAATCAAACTAAACAACTTTAAAACAATATTAGCTTACACATATTCCACAATATTGCTTCCACACAGAAATTTAAAATGATTTAGATTTAAAAACTATTGAATAAAATCTGAGGTACTTTATGACACCTAATAAAAAACTTAAACAAAAAATTACTTTTAAGAATGGCGAAAAAAAAAAAAAAAAAAAGCTAAATTAGGAAGAAAAAAAAATTAACAAAAAAACAAAACAAAGTTAAAACAAATTAACTAACAAACAAAAAAATAGCGATAATATTTTTTTGAAGATAATCAAAATCAAAAAAATGTTGAAGATAAAACTAATTGCAAAGGTATGAAAAACAATTGCGATTTGTGATTGTGATACGCTTAATTTGAGCAGTGAGTCATATAACCAATCTAGTGGACAATTAAGTTTCAATATAAGCATTTCATTTCACACATTTTTCATTGCTTCATCATTTTTACTAAGATCTATTGCTTTTTGATGTAATAAAAATATAAGTTAGCTGCTAATACAATTAAAATGAAACTTTATTTGCAATTTTTTTAAATTTAATACATCCCTCCAAGGCCACGAAGGTCACTAGGCTGCTTTAATTGTGGTTACAACCCCCTCTTAACTCTATAACTACAAAACACTAAAAACTTGACTAAAAAAGCCCATTTGCAGAGAAACAAGTTAAGCGCAGTACTACCAGGAAAGTAGTTTTTGGAGTTATGTTTTGCATTTTTACAATCACTCCCAAAAGCTAGTAAGCTTTTTTATTTAAAATTATGATTTGAATATTCTTATTTGAAAATATAGATTTGAAGTTTTTTGAATCGTTCAAACCAAATTGACATTACCTCTGGTTAAAAAAAGATTTTCAACTAAATTATAATTGTGCCATCCTCATTAGGGCTATGACTGAAAATAAATTTGCAAAACTTTGTTTCTCCTGCAATCACAAATGATGAATCTTTGTGACCTGATTATATAGTGGCTGCTGAACTTCAGATAAGATTCATTATACCATTGATAAATATAGGAAGGTCTACATTATTGCAATCGTTATTGCAATAATATAGACCTTCCTATATTTATGAACGGTAATGTGCTCGATGAGTCATCTACCCTTTATCTTCTAGGATTACTTCTGATCTTTTTTGGAAACCTTATATCAAATCCGTTGCAAAATTAGCATCTGCTAAAGTTGCATTGTAAACATAGTTGGACCTGCTCTTGCAGCCAACCTTCAACCTTTGTCACATCGTCGTAATGTTGCTCCCTTTTCTCTTTTCTACAAATACTATAATGGGCACTGCTCTAAAGAGCTAGCGTCTCGTGCCATCTACTAAAATTCATTCTCGTGTTACTCGTCATTCAATTAAGTCTCATCCTTTTTCTGTTACTGTTCCTAAGTGCTCCAAAAACTCTTATTCATCTAGTTTTTTTCCTCGAACATCAGTTCTTTGGAATTCACTTCCTCCATCTTGCTTTCCTGATTCGTATATAACTTGCAATCTTTTAAGTCGTCTGTCAATCGTTATTTTGCTCTACAATCTTCATCTTTTCTCTTCCAGTTCCAACACTAATCAGTGGTTGCTTGCAGCCTTGTTGGAAGCGAAGATATTAAATATATATATATATATATATATATATATATACATATATATATATATATATATATATATATATATATATATTAGAGATGTGCCGGAACCAGTTGATGCCGAGTCTCCGATTCCGGGTACCCGGCTGAAAAAACCTGGTCCGAGTCCGAGTACTCGGCACCGAGTCCATTTTTAAAAAGTTGGAATAAAAACTTGTGAAATCTCAAGCGCTGAACTATTCACACAAAATACGCTTTTTACGCTAACTAACCAAAAGTTATGTGGCGCAAGTACCATTTAGCAAAACCCCGCAATGCAGGGTAAGGGGCCTGAGTTGTAGAGCCTAACTTTTTTCAAAAGTTGTGCAACAGTTTTTAAAATAACTATATTTAGTTTAAAATTATTTTTTTTACCTGGTCGAGCGGGCCTAAATAATATTTTGTTATAATTATTATCGAAATTAAAATATGAAAAATGTGTATAATATTTACCTAATATCTCTACTTTTATGATTTTTTCTTGATACGAATGAAAAGTGGTATTAGCGTTCGAAAGCATTATAAGCGTTTCATTCAAAACTTAGTTGCTAAAAATTATCTTGTGCTCTAACAGAATAAAAAGAAGCTCTTCTAAAACTATTTTTCTCATTTTTTTTATTCGTATTCTCGAATTATTTCATTTAGCGTTTTAGTTTTTGTATCCATATAAATTTTTTTACAAAAATGTATTAAAAATTATTTTAAGTGAGATTGTTTTAAGTTAATAGAACTTTGTGGTTATCGACTACATAACATTCTTAGATTTATATCAAGAAGTTTAATGGTTAAAGTTTAAATTAAAAAAAAAAATCAATTTG